GTAATAACTATTAATTTAGTTATTTTGTTATAAATCATTGCAAAACTCATTTTATAAAAATGAAAAAGAGTTAAATAAACAATTTTTGTTTACATATAAAAAGGGTTGAACTTGCACAAGTTTTTTTTTATCCAGTGCAACAATTTTAAATATATATATATATATATATATATATATATATATATATATATATATATATATATATATATATATATATATATATATATATGTATGTATATATATATATATATATATATATATATATATATATATATATATATATATATATATATATATATATATATATATATATATATATATATATATATATATATGTATATATTCTTTGCAATGATATGAAGATTTAATGTTTTATTGAAACTTTATTTCCAGCTTTGATCTATTTTTTTTTTTTTGACCTTGCAAACTCGAGCTTTTTTTAACAATTTTTTTAAATAGTTTATTTATTTTGATATTTTTAATTATGGGTACAGATTATATTTTTATAGAAACGAATTATAAATACGAACTATAAATACGAATTAAGAATTAAAATAGCTTAAAAATTGTTTAGTTCATAAAGCAGGTTTATAAAAACTGAAAAAGACAGATTAAAAGAACTGGTTATTACACGAAACTATAACTATTTTATAGGAGCTAAAACATATTATTTGTTAGGGGAAAAAAGATTGGTTAAAAAAAATAACTTGACTGCACCTGAAACTGAATTACCTATAATTTTAAAAAGCGATTTTAACGTCAGAGAAAATGCTCTGGTAGAGCATAGGCATATATTTAGTTTATATATTTGTATAAAGTATATATTTATTGTTATATTACTCTTAGGTGCTTTACACGTTTACGGGAAGGGACTTTCATTATTTTTCAAAAATTTTTGTAAACCACCTCTGCTACGAGAGAAATTAACTTCAAAAATATCAAAACAAAACATCACTCAAAACAGAAGTTTTGAGTAATTTTTGTTATGAGTTTTAAACTCATCAAATATTCTTGTAACGCACTGTTCATTTTTACTGAGTTATTAAGTTGATGTTATTTTTACTTCAGATTTTTTTAAATCACTTTTTCAAGCACGTTGACATAAAATAGAAACCGTTGAAAACGAATTAAAAACTGCACTTTTTTTTATTTTTTGACCATTTTTCTAAACACTTAATACCTTCGAAAAATGAGGGGGTCCTAAACTTTATGTATCTTTTGAGTGTCGAAATATATTTCGATAAAATTTGAAACATAATTACAATTTATGATGGGGTTCAGGAAAATTTTTTTTTTTCAAAAATTACTTTCCCTCAACTATGGAGATGTAAAGGGCATTTTTCATGGGTATTTTTACTCTTGTTTGCAAATCACAGGGTTAGTGCCTGAAATTGAAGTTAATTTTATTTAGAGAATAGTTACAAATGATTTAATATCAAACTAATGGCATAAACACGACAAAGTAGAAAAATTAGTCTCAATAAATTACCTCAACCGTCTGATAATTTGTTTAAATTAAACAATTTGTTAGAGTATTGATTTATAAAATTTGAATAACCTAATACAGAAATTACTGAAAAAAAAAACGTTTTTGTACAAAATGAGTCTGCAAAATGCAAGATCTCATTCAGAAAATAGGAATTGGATATGTTTTTATTGTGTTGATAAAGACAAAAAACGTCTACCTTTGGAGAAAATGATTCATTGATTTATTTGATCAAAGACTTTGTGGACCCTGGATTTAGTCTGAACCTAAGTTCTTATCTGTTTAGAATATGCGAAATCTGCAAGACAAACTTATATTTAAAACAGAAAGGTAAAGCGATCAGTAAAGCTGTGGAGACTTCCTGGATAATTGGTCATAATCAAGTTAAAAAGTTGGGAAGAATTAAACAAAAAGATGGCAACTACAATTGTGTTATTTGCTGCCAAGTGCTGTGTACTAAAAGTATTAGTACACTTAACTTTTCTACACTCACCTACGTAGAATCTGAAAAGACTACATTAAAAAAAAAAAATCATTTTGCTCAGAATGCTGTCAAATTGTTGGTCCTGGTATTCGCCATCCTTGCTACAAAAAAAAACTGTTCAAAATCTTTACGCCTTAATTACTTCAAAGAATCAAAATATGACTTACAGAGTTGTTTCTTGTACGCTAAAAGAAATATATTTGTTTTTGGTTATAGTAAAAAAATAAAACTTGCAACAGAAGGAAAAGCTCTTCCTGTTAAAGTATACAGAGACCGATCACCTATAAGGCATATAAAAAGTGAAAAAATTCTAAACTTGAAGGTAAACCACAGTCTTTCAAATTTTTCAGTGTTAGGAATAATGAAGGAGATAAGGAAAGATGTTGGACGAATTGGAATACAAGAGAACACCTATGCTAAAATTACGAAAAGATCACGCTACTTGAATAGGTTTTACGATGTGATAAAATGTCAGCTTAAGATTGGCAAAAACTTTTTTGAAAAAGATATTGTATATTGTACTGACCTATATATGCTTGTAAATGAAGTTTATTCCTTTAAAAAATTGGATATTTTTAATTCTGTTGTACGTGTCGGTAATGACGGAGGGCAGGGATTTCAAAAGATTGTTATGAACGTGCTTGACCCATTAGTATTAGATTTTCAACTAAGAAACCAGAAGAACAAATGAGTCAATAAAGTGATTATCTTAGGTATTGTTCGAAACGTAGAAGAGAATCAATCTGACAACACTTTTCCAACTCCTTCAACCAATTTAAATTTTACTTGGGATCTGACCTCAAATTGATCAGCATCATAATAAAGGGTCACGGTGGAAAATACTCTTACTGCTATTGTGATGGGTCGATGGATGAAAAAGGATCTCAAAAGACTTTCGGATCGCTAGCAGATGAATTCGAAAAATACCAATTTGATAACAAACCTCGTATACAGATGCAATATTATAAAAATGTTTCCTTGTCTGTTGGATAACACTTCTTAGAATGTTTTTAATTCAATTAGTACAGGTAGGGGACTATTGACCTACCCGTCAACATAAAATTAGGAGACAATATATGTTAATACTATTACTTTCAGCAAGTTAATATTTGGTTAACTTTTGTTTGATTTAGTTGGTGAATTCTGTTTTAGTATGAATAAATATGTTTGCGGAGTTCATACTTCACTTAAATGTATATGTCCATGATGTACTCGCAATGAAGATTTTATATGGATGAAAGTTTCACATAAACAGGTTCCGTCTCAAGGAGTTTCTCGATAGGTAGAAGATCCCGCTTGTTATTACATCACAACAAACATCTGAAGCAGTGCATAAAAACTTGAGCAAGACACTGAAAAGGTTTGTTGTGTCTGAGAAAAACGTCCATCACGTTGAAAAGCTAAGAGCTATGGTTGCTGAATACAGTCAACGAGATCGTAAGAAAATTTTTCAAAAACATATTTAGATTGAAAAAATAACAAATCTTTTTTGTAACATATAACATGTAAAATACTTTTTGTGGCATTTCATTTGACTGAATTTATTATCAGAGATTTATTCATGTTTTGTGTGTGTCAGTAGAGATGAAAGATTTGTTGCATTCTTAATAGATTTTTGACAAGAAGATGATTGCAACTATTATTTTGCTAATATTCATTGAAATGTTACTTTTTTGCTAAAAATCATGGCATTTAAATCACAGGGGTAAGAATACCCTTGAAAAATAGAGCAATCGCTCTAACCACTGCGTCACGGCCACACGCCGTGTGGCCCAAGTGTGTCTTTAAGGCAAGCAGATCACGCGAAAAAAATGCCTATAAATAACTACAAGAAAAACCACTGAAGGGTGAAGTAAGTGGTACAAAGTTATAATACCAGTTGTGAATTTGAACTTAGTGAGTGCATTAGGAGGTGAGTTGGCCTCTCTTATTCCTTGTGCGTCCCAATCCATACTAGACTCTATATTGAACTGTTTTATATTAAAGTTTATTCTTAAAATAATCTCTAATGCCTTTGACATAAATGGCATAGCTAACGCGGCATCTCTTTCTGACCATCTTGCTTTTTGCACATCCCTATCGAAATCTTTTTTCTTTCACTTGATTTACAACGGATCTCTGCAACATGCTCTGGCAAGCGCTCTCTTTTCGGAGAGTTACTGAAATAAATGGATATATTTCTGTATACCTTCAAAATGTTATCAATATTTGGTATTTTTGATGTTGCAGCAATTGATAAATTTAAATAATGTGAGCTACAGTGTGTTACATTTGCTTTTGGTGATCTTTTTAAAATATAGCTGGCAACACCTTTTTTTACAGATTGCAAGTTTGGGGCGCCATCGTAACACTGGCTTCTACAAGAACTAAGATCAATTTCACTTTCGCTATAATATTTTATTAAACTTTCTCCAATATGTTTGTCTGTTATCCTATCAAGATTCAAAAGAAATATTTCTCGAATTTCTTTTTCTCCATTTACGTATCTCATACATACTAATAGAATTTGTTTGTTTGCAATTGTTACCTCGTCTGCTGAAATTAAATGGTAATTTGCAGCTTTAATTTTATTAATTAACCGCTCTTGTATACATTTCTTTCCAACTATATCAATTTATTCATTTTGATTCATTGGGCCAAGGTAGCTGATATCTTTGCGTAATGGTGTTTGTATATGTGCACTAAGTTCAGCGTTATGGCGAGCTATTTCTTGCACAATTGCAAGAAAGTTTCCAGGATTACCTTTTTTTGTCTGAGTTTTCCATACAATACTTAGGGATTTGGTTTGAGCATGGCTTTCAATAAAATAAGTTTTATTTTTGGGTTCAGGCTTAGAATATAATTATCAATAAATGTTATGCGTAAAATGTGACTTGCTTTTTACGGACATACAAAAGGGGGTGCCTTAAGTACACGTCCGCCATCATGTTTATAGATTCCCAAAAATCATATTAATTCAAAAGTTCTCGATATCCTTCAAAAATTGTCTTTGACTTTCCATCCTTCAACAACATTGGCTTAAGCCTAACC